TGAGAATTACAAAAAGAAACAGTACAACCCAAAACAACCCAAAAAATATATTGAAAACCATGAAGAACACGAGTGTTTTAGCTAAAATGTATATTCTGAAATGATGTTTGGACGATACAACAATGAATATTATTTTGTAAAGTCGGTACCGATCGATCAATCTAATTTATTGTGGGAAATAGTTGTAAGATCAGTGTAAAAATGTTATTTTAACAATCATAGATATAATAAAAGCAAGAAATAAATAACATTGTTGTACTTTCACATGTAATTGCTACTTCATACTTCATATACTGTAAGTTCTTCATAATTATAAACGTATATCTATTAATGTAGCTATATGTTTTATTTATAAAAAAGTTACATTTAATAAGTTCACAATTTCGTGATGAATGCCTTATTAGTATGGCATTCATCATTAAATTGTGAACTTTTTAAATGTAACTATTATATCAATAAAATAAAAAGCTACATTAATAGATATACGTATACACATCATAAAGGTATATATAGGTATACACCGAATGTTTCGGAACAAGAAATATAGATGTTGCTAGCCCGCAATGTTGACCAAAATAATATGCGAGATGGCTCTCTATTTCTGTAGTATTACTTTACTCTATGCCGTCCTGTACAGCGGCAGTGCTGCCACATGAAGAAAAAAGATGGACTAAGGCTTTATCAAAATTACGCTATATTATACGAAAATATGGATACTAACTTAGGAGTTTTTTTTTTCGTAAATTTAGACTAAATATTTACGATAGAAATTATTTAGGAGGTTTTTTTAGAAATAAAATTTTATTCACATGTTAGAAAAAAATCTACACAAGACTAGGTACTTTATTTTAAACAAAAAGGAAACGTGTGCATTCCGGGTCGCCCGACTGATGTGATAACTTAAACTAAGCTAAAAATTGAGAAAAGCTTAGGTTATTACTTAAATTTTATGTAGTTGTATTAGTGTGATAATGTGAGGAAAGGTTATTTATTAATAAAAACTTATCTAAGAACAAAAAAAAACATGGCAGAATCCCTATTTTCTTTTTTTTTTTCGAAACGACACCTAAAGGGTCCATTCACTATCCTGCCTGGCAGTCCGCCGTGCAGGACTGCAAAGCAGGATGTAGCCCACACACTATCCTGCAAGCCGTCCATCGTCTCTCAATAGTGTCAGTGTTGTTGTTGTAATAATTATGGATTTACATGTCGTTTCGAAAAAAAAATAGGAAATGGCGAGTTTTTCTTGTTGTTAGATAAAAGGTTTTATTAATAAATAATCTTTCCTCAAATTATCATACTAATATACATAAAATTTAAGTAATAACATAAGCTTTTATCAAGTTAAACTATTTCAATATTAAATAGTTTTTGAGCTTAGTTTAAGGTTATCAAATCAGTCGGGCGTCCCGGGATGCACACGTCTTCTTTTTGTCTATAATAAAGTACCTAGTCCCGTGTAGATTTTTTTCAAACCTGTGAATAAAATTGAATTCCTAAAAATATTTCTAAAAAAAAGCTCCTAAACAATTTCTATTGAAAATATTTACTGTGTAAATTTGCAAAAAAAAAAATCTCATAAGTTAGCATCCATATTTTCGGATAAATGGCGTAATTTTACTAAAGGCTTAGTGCATATTTTTTCTTCATATGGCAGCACTGCCGATTCGCAGGACGGCCAAACCACTGACTCTCCTGCGCGGCGGACTGCAAGCGGTGGGCGGAGCTTGCAGGACCCTTGCAGGATGCAAGGCGCGTCCTGCTCGGTGTTGCCAGAAACTGTGCAGGCCTGCAACACCATTCACGATCCTGCATAGAGCGGCGGACTGCACGGCGGACTGTGCCAGGCAGGATAGTGAATGGGCCCCTTTAGTACCAATGCACTCCAGCTCAAGGCTAAACAAAATTTAAAAGACATCGTTAATACCATGATTCGTATTTAAATGAAACAGAGTTTTTTCCATGCTGTTAAGATTCAAAATTACATAACTTATTCATAAAATCTGTTTGAAAATCTGCTAATGTGCATTGTTTGCTGTACCGCTCTAACTAGTGAGTATTTGTATCTCACGCGCTTTGTCGCTCGAAATCTGTATAAAATCAGATATTGTCGCAAGCTCGTATGATATCGCGATTCGTGTTGGTATAGCGAGTGAGCGAGTTTTTGCTACATCAGATTTCGGAAATATCAGTTAATGTAAAATACATAGATTTTGAACGAGCCAGTAAGCGATTTTCAGATGTTGTACCAATATGTAGTTTTCGTATCTGTATACGATTTGTATCGCCCACTTCTATCGCTCGCTATTCTCTTTAAATCGCGCAGTGTAGAATAATTACTTCGTACATTATTTGTTTTTTGTACCAGAGCAAAGCTTATTCAGTCATTTGACCACCGATTTGGAAAATATAAAGAAAGTGTGAAATCACTTGATGTTTTGCGTTATATAACAACAGTTGTTGTTTATTTTGCAGTGTTCCGGTTAGATAATAAGAAATAAATATTACCACTATAATCTAAAGATTATAAGGAACAAATAGAGGTATGTTTCGATAGTAAACGCCATAATTTGTAGTGGGCCCATCATCCATAGAAAAAAAAATTGTCTCTTTTATGTTTGTAAAACGTCCATACAACACAGTATAATGTTAAACTTTTTTTTTTGTTGTTGACGTGGGTATTTAACCCACGTGCCTATGCCAACATCGCGGGGCAAAAAAGGGTTATGGCGGACTCGTCTCCATTTTCATGGCCTACTAACTCCCCCGAGTTCACTGAACAGAGGCCATTGTAGCCAGGAGAGCCAGCTCTAATAACCAGCAAGCCGCCCAGCCTCCAGCGGCGGACCTGTTCTGTGGCTCCGCCGCTTACCAAGTTTTGGCAGCGGAAGGTAGGGAGAACGACGCACCGCAATACCGACACTCCTCTCCTCCCGCGACCCCACCACCACTTTGGTGCAGCCCCGCCGATTCGCTGAGGATAGGAAACGTGGCCAAACGCAATACCGACCTCTTCCCCAACGACTCCTCCATGATAGCAAAAGAAAGGGAGCCCTTTACTACCTTCGACCCCCTACACCCTCCAAACACGCATCCAGTGGGCTTAATGAACCCACTGGGAGCGGCACTCTCGCCTTACACCACAGGCCAGCTCCTATATATGGGCCCTCTTAGCTTCGCCATGAGTGACCAAGCCACGGCTAATAAGCCCCTGCGCTACGGCAAGGCGGGAACCTGGTCGGAGGGGGTTATAATGTTATCCTAAGGTCAGGGCTGTTTCGTTATTAAAAAAAATATATAAATAAAAAAGTGTGACTATTTTACAGTGATGTGCGCACATCGTAAAATTTCACTCAGATCATTTTTTCATAACGCGCCTAAAGAACTATAAGTTCAAAAATTAATCGTCACCCAATTCCTATATTTATCATGTTAGCTGCACCGTGTAGTATTTATGTATACTTCTTGATGACTCCGTGGCGTAGTTGCCAAGGTATTGACTTCGACGTCGGGGGCCGTGGGTTCGATTCTTACACGGAACAACTATTTGTGCGACCCACAGATAGTTGTTTCGCATCTGGGTGTTTGTCCACGTGAAATTTATGTATGTAAAACGTCCTTACAACACAGGATAATGTGTAAAAAAAGTATAGATTTGAAGTCAAATTAGTGAAATAGCGGACTCCCTTAGTGTAAATAACTAGTTTTAAATAATTTTTTTTCGCGAAAACTAAGCGGCCGCCAAATTCGGCTTGTTGACTATATCATAATTGATTTTTCTTTACCGAATAAAATTTTTGTTAGGTCGAAGAACACCTGCGCGCTAATGGAAAAAATTATTCAATCTGTTGTATTTTAAAGCAGAATATTTATGGGAAACTTTTTTTGATTATATCGTCATTTTTTTTTTGGATTTTATGGCCCACTTTAAAAGACCTTTAGGCCATTTATCGTCATAATTTTGTCATACAACAATAAAAACAAAAACAGATGTCATTCACTGTCAGGCTGTTAATAAGAATAGGCAAGTAATAAAAATATATCGATATTTATCGTTTCGACATTTGTAAGCGTCGTATCGATATATCGTCAGTTTTCGCATCATTATCACTACATAGTATAAAACAAAGACGTCCCGCTGTCTGTCTGTCCTTATGTAAGCTTAGATTTTTAAAACTACGCAACGGATCTTGATTAGATTTGTTTTTACTAAAGAGAGTGATTCAAGAGGAAGGTTTATATGTATATATATGATATGATGAAAATAGTTGATTGTTTTTTAAAAATTCGAAGTCGTTCATTTATTGTCTGTTGTACTTCATCGTAAAAAGAATGATGATGAAAATAGTTGATTGTTTTTTAAAAATTCGAAAGTCGTTCATTGTCTGCTAACTTCATCTCACACTGATGTTTTAATAGTAATAGTATTTTCAGCCAATAGTCTTACTGTTATATTTATTTTATAAACAGTATGGCGATATTTTTTTAAGTTAAAGATTGCACGGGGAGCATGAAAAGAGTGTGCATTAACTTTAAACAAGAAACCAGAGTTGTGTAAAAAATATTTCCAAATTGACATTTTACACATTCACAAGATTAAAAATATCGAGTTTATATCGATAGTTGTATACAAAAATATCGATATTTTAATATATATCAAATTTTTTGGCATGCCTATCTATCAGTAGCCTAGATAAGACATATATACTTGACTGATCAGTCGTCTGTCAGCTGCTCAGTTTGTGTCCTGTGTTAGTACTAGTAAATTTTACAGGTCAAGGTCCTTAAGGCTTCAGGTCTTGTGCAGACAGTTTTAATATATAAACTAATAATTTTAAACTATACAAAAAGATAATTATCTCATTACAGAAATAGTAATAATTATAATACTATAAATAGTAATAATGTCCTGGGTCAAGGAAAACTGTGTTTCCTTTTTTCAACTCTTTTGCGTTAAAGTTGTAAAAAATGGTCGAATTCCGCAGCACATAGCTTTTATCATGGATGGGAACCGTCGATTTGCTAAAAAGAAAAGCGTGAAAAGTAGCGTAGGCCATTACAAAGGTTTTGATAAACTTTCAGAAACATTGAAGGTATACTATTTAATTTTGCAAGTTAAAAAAAATATTTTTTGTTACTAATAAAAATTACTGTTATTATTACAGTGGTGTCTTGATCTTGGTGTACCTGAAGTGACAGTTTATGCATTTAGCATAGAGAATTTTAAAAGAAGTGAAGATGAAGTTACAGCACTCATGGACTTAGCACGTGATAAATTTAAAAGACTTCTTGATGAAGTGTATGTATATGGTGAAATGATTAAATTGCTATAATTATAATTTAAACTAATTATTAATTTGATATTAGTTCATGTAATATATGGATGATTTAATAGTAACTCTTTTGCAGTGAGTTAATGAATGATTGGGGTGTTCGTATACATGTGGCTGGGCGATTATCACTTCTTCCAAATGATCTACGGTCTCTTGTTGCACGTGCAATGTTAGCAACTAGATATAATAATAAATTGCAACTCAACATAGCATATGCCTACACAGGTGCCTATTTAAAATTAGATATTTGCATTAATTTTAAATTTTGTGGAAAATTTCTTTAAGAACAAGTCTTATGTATTGTAATATTTTAGAAAGATAGAAAATGTGAATAACATCTAAGATCTTAAAAAGTCGTGACATACAAATATTAGAATTATTGATGAATGTTGAATCAAAGTTTTATTTTCTCTAGGTCGTGATGAAATTAGCCGTGCTGCATCTTATATAGTTGATGGTTGTAAGAATAATGACCTTACTACTGATGACATTGATGAATATCTTGTCTCCCAAGCGCTGGACTTGGCAGAAGCTGAGTTATTAATAAGAACATCTGGGGAAGTGAGGCTCTCAGATTTCATGCTGTGGCAGGTAAGAATATGTAAAAAATTACAATGTTCAATGATCTTAATAAAATAATCTAATATTGCTAAAATTTACAACACTAATTTATCACTTCCGTTTAATCATTTATCACGTCTTTTCATTTATGCTATTCTTCCAGAAAAAATATTCTTTGGCCCTTCATATCAATTTCTCATAATCTTTTCTTGATTTTTTTTTCAGATTTCACGAACAGTTTTATATTTCTCAGATGTTCTTTGGCCAGAGTTCACAATTTGGAATCTGCTAGCTGCTATTATACATTTTCAAAGAAATGCACCACCTCTGTTACCAGAAAATGTGAACAGTGATGCTAAGCAGAAATTCTTGAACAAATTGGAAAATAAATGGTGGAGTGACCTAGAGAGTTTTGTAGCTTGTTAATTTTTTTTATTTGGTTTTAGTTTCTTACATTTATGATACATTATTGTATTTAAAGTTATTCAAGAACAACAAAAGATTAAATAGAGAGTGCAACTGTTAACCCTTTACACTCTAGACGTTTCTTATTGTATTAGGTATTGGTTTATACCAGTACATAAAACTACAAACATATACACTATATATTAATAGTTATCAAAAAAGCAACAAGCCTCAGTATATTTTGGCTGTATGTACACCGAGTTCACTATATGGATGCTATAAAGACATTGAAAGCTTTTTGTTCATAGTCATAGTCTGTGAAGGTAATATGTGGAATATGAATATGAATAAGAACCCAAAAACAGCATTACTATGAATCCAATTAGCATTATTAATAAGAGGTATCTTAGAAATGTCAAGAGTTTAAAACTTTTAAATAATTAACTATGGTTAATATATTTGTCTACATATCAAGGTAATTTTTATATAAATCGAATAAATATAAAATTTATGACTTGATAGCAAATGAATTTTGAATATATTATATAAGAAAGGTGTTTCTTTGTTGAGATACTTTGTATATAAGATAGATTTCTTACAATTTTTAATGTTTGTGGGAATATCAAGTGAAACATTTTGTACTTAATTATTTATTGACATTTTATTGCATAATTTAGGTTACAGTCTCTGTGATTGCTTTATAAAAGTAAGTATGGTTTAAAATGTACTCTTATTTACCTTTTATTGTATATTTCGAATAAGTTTTTGTTGGGTCATATGGCTCCCATCGAGATGCTGGAAATATATGTTTATTCCTCTCATACCATGACCTGAAAAAGATTATTGGTATCACTTACTTGAAGTCAAAATTTAACTATAACCAAAAGTAGGTTCTTAAATTAAAAACGAAATTAAAATTTAAAAATGAATTTAAATGAATAATTTTATGGAAATAATTATTTTTAACCAAGGTTAAAAAACAGAGAGAGGTCATGAACATTATTGAAGTTTAACAAATATATTGCATAATTATCAAATTTATCAGTGCTCAGATCATTTTTATCTATATTTATGATTCCAATATTCATTTTTGTTTAAAATAACAAACAATGTATGAAAAGATTTACCTTAGAAGGACCTTCCCTGCATGAGAATCTTGTTTTTCTTGTGTTGCATCATTTACTAACCTAACATCATCAGAAGCATCAAACTGAAATAATGGTCCACTTTTTCCACGAGCCTTGAATAAAGAATAATATTGTATGTCTGATTAATATCATTAGGATATGCAAAGCAATTTCAGTTAGTTATTCAAGAGTGCACTATTCATTGCTTATGTACACAGAAGTGGGCAAGGCTGTGTGTGATTCTAGATGCGATTCGTTATCTTGTATTACAGTCTAACCAACCCTGATCCATTCTAGTAATTTTTATAGTAAATATTTTAATTTAGTTAGTTTGGTAAAAATATTCATTCTATTGACTACATTTGCTTAAAAAATTAGCTTTGTTCAATGATATTTTTTTGAATAAAGTAAGCTCATGGCGTAAATTTCATTAATTTTATATGAAGTGTGTCCCACACTAAACAATAACCATGCATGTTCACATTTGTATTGGATCATTGTTAGAAAAAAATTTTGAGGTCTTAATGAGTACTTGTTACAGAGCATTTGTAAGAGATTTCGATAAAATTTATTTCTTCACAGTGTGATTCAGTGGTGCCGTTGCCAAGCTATTGGCTTCGGTATTTGAGTGGACCACAGATAATTATTCTGGATCTTGCTGTTTGTTCCCCAAGGACGGTTGACGTCAGACATATGGCCAGCTTTAAAGAAAAGGCCAAAACCGCTTACAACATAATTCACATGATGATGAGTGTGCTCAACAATGTATAGAATATAACAATAATGTATAGAATGGTGTATAATTACCACAAACCCACACGGACCATATTTAAAGACGGTAATAATAAAGTATACAGTTTTTACATAAGGAACGTAGGAAACATTATACCTTGGTAACAATGAAGTCATAAAATGTATAATGATGTGGCAGTATAAGATCTTCCTTCACATACATCAGTTGGTCAGCAGAAACAGTTTTAAGTTCACTGAACTCTGGTCTCAATGTGTCTAAACATCGCTGCAAGAACTGGTAAATTGAGTTTCCTGAAAGAACATTATATATTATGAATTTAGAAAATTAATTTATGAAGTAGTTTTAGATTGCTAGCTTGTTGTAAATGAATTATGAATAAATCTTATTAATGTTACTTGCAGTATTCTCTATTATTTTATTCTATATTCTATATCTCTATTTATTTTTATTATATTTTTTTTCATTAATGGTATAAAATAAAAATTATACATAGATGTGTAATTATTGATGATGCTGAATTATTACTCATCTGCAATAAAAAATAGTACCCTAAATAATCCTACAAACTATTTTTAATGTAATTCAATATCTATCTATAACAATAGTCATGAAAATAATTATATTAAAATGTCTATATATACCTTAAAATATACAATAATGCACACCTTTTTTTAGTGTCACATTTCTCCTATGCCCAGATCCATCCCAGTAGCTGAATGTAACAGTTATAGGTTCATCTTTAAGACTTGCTTGTGTCATAACCCATTCTAGTCTTAGTTCTTCCCGTAATTTCAAATCAGCTTCTTCTCTTTCTCTATCTGGTAAAAATGATGTGTCAACATCTGGATTTTTACGAATTTTTTTGAGAGGCTGCAATAATATCAATAGTATGATTTGAAATCAATTTTTCTTTTGTAGTCTACATAGTAAGTCTATAACTATACAGTAATATAACCCAAATTTATGTGAATATTAGGACAAACTGATAACCGTGTTGGATTGGGGAAACTAAAGGTTTAATTTAGCATATAAATACATAAAAATATATTTTAAGTTGAGGCCTGAGACTATAGAAAATAACAATTTATAATAAATGTTTGTCACATAGATGCTAGAAAATAAATATATCTGTAAAATTTTCAACCCATTGTTCAATCTTTTGTTTGAACTGGCTCTAAAAGCTCAAGTAGCATAGTTCTAGGTAATTCTATAGAAATCCCTAGATGCCAAAATCAATTGAACTGGCAATTATCAATTTAACATTTAATTCTTCATTTTTTCTTTGGCACAAGATAATCTTTAACTTCACCTCTGAATATGTAGTTAACTGTTTCTATAAACAGGTTTAAAAATTGGATAGTTTCAGTTCAGTAATGTGCAAAATTTACTTACCCGGAAAGGATTGCAGCCGAGGCTGATGCGTTGGCCCTACCACCGTTAAACCATAAGAGATCACCGCCATGGTGTTGCAAAGAACCCGAAATGTGTTGCCACCTCATTCACCAGATGAAATGCAGAAGAATGCCAGGTTTCTGTGGGGTTATGGTTGCCTGAACCAGACGGACCTGCCCATCTGTGCAACAGTGAACTGTCGCATGGCCCTACTTCTGTTTAATGTGACTTAAATACAGAATTAATAATACATTCGGCCATATGCATTAAGTATTATATTTATATACATACTACTTCTTCCTGCTCTCGCCAATCTTTCTCAGCTTTCTCTTCATCCTCATCATCATCTTCATCCTCATTTAAATCAAATGAAAGTGCTTGTATCTGTTGAAAATGTATAACTTAATTATATAATACAATGTTATTATCATGAGTCCGTTATGACATTTACACAATGAAAGGTTTAATGTTTAACAAAGACAGCAATTAATGTACATGCAATCAACATCAATTTAACAACTGAAATAGTTGTAAAATCTAAGACCTTAATAATGAGAACTTTAATTTTTACCTGACGTTTTTGTTTATTTTTTTGCGCTTGCTTGGCTTCAATTTCTTTCTGCCTTTCCTTTTCTTTCTCTGCCTTTTTTTGAGCTAATTTTTTCTCCCTTTCGCGAACAATGTGTTCTTGCTTAGCTTTCATTTCATCGAGGGTTACGAGTCCAATGGTGGAACTCTTCAATTGCTGTTCTACGGCATCATAATGTGTCGCAAATTTATTCTCTATATTTTCAATCTTAAGGTCTTCCTCTATCTTCTTTTTACGAAGTTCTATCTCTTGCTGTGCTTTCTCTCTTTTCTTCATGAGGTGCATAGCCCTGCCAGCTTCTGAAGCAGCACCTTTGTAGTGAGCCATGATGAATTATAATTACTGCAATATTGGTTTACGAGTTATTGATTACTTTATGATAAATATGGAAACAATTTTAATATAATAGATTGGTAGGAGAACAAATTGTGCAAAACACTAGACAGTATGCAGAAAAGTCAACAATGGAAACGATATTAATTTTAGGTTGCATTAAATAATGTCCAGAATGAACAAACAATCTGACATTGACATGTGACATTACATTATTATAGCGACGTGACAGCTACGCAAGACGTTCTAAAAGGGCATATAAAGTGAATTTGGTATCCTCTTAAAACTTCATTTATTATAATAATTCATCAAATTAGAAATGGATGAATTAATTCATCAATTTATTCATCCACAACTAATTATCTTAACTGATAAGAAGTTAATGCAATAAAATTATTGCACATACATAAAAGCGTCCCGGCTCTGACTTAATCTCCAACCGAGTGATAAAAACACTTCATGCCCACCGCAATTGCCTTCTGGTTGCAATATTTAATATACTCCTGGACAACTGTACTTTCTATGAAACATGGAAGTATAAGAACATCATCGGGATCCCTAAGCCAAATAAGAGCCGAGTCAAACGCCCGGTTTCTGAAACCGCTGTCAAATGATTTTTCAAATATCATTTTAGTTGCCTTAGTAGGATGATTAAACTGTCTGAATTGACCAGAATTATCTTCTTAATGGCCCGAATGATCAATTCAAAGAGTTTAACCATCCTTTTGGCAACTCAAATGACATTTGAAAGCCATGTGACAGGTGATTAGTTGACTTCTACGATAATCAGTGTTTCAGGAACCGGTCGTAAGCTATTGAATGCGTGCACAAAAATACTAATACTATTAAAACATCAGTGTGAGACGTATATAACCCTGAAGTTAACAGACAATTAACATGATGAAATAAATATTTGATATAAATATTTATTTCATCATGTTAAATAAATCATGATATATAAATTAAGTAAAATTAATTACAATCACGAAATTAAAAAAATACACTCATAACAACTGAAAAAAAATGTGAGTCATATATGGGTTCATATGCGCCCAAACTAATTTTAAACGAAATTACTTTGGACATACATGGGTTCATATGAAGTAAAGAAAGGATTAGAAATTTTAGTTTTAATAATAATATAGTTTACCACTGTAATTTTAATCATGAAATGGCGCAAACAGTTTCGTTTCACGTTGTGACATAAGAGAGCCATACATTTGCACATGTTTAGGTCGCAAAGAAGACATTTTTGGCATTCAAGCAAATCATCAAAAATATTTTATGATTTGAATATCTTTTTATTTTTTTTCGGCGTGGCTAATGGAGGGTCAGTTTTGTTATCAGTGGAATCACTATCTGTTTCGAGTATAACAAGAGATCTTGTTTGAGTGACGTTGAAATTCTTTAGATGGAACAAATTTCTATTAAAATCGGAAGCTAAATTCATCACCACTTTATAAGCCATCACCAGATATAGGATTAACATTCTTATTAGAGCCATAAAAGCGAGCAGGATCCATTCTGTAACCAAGGAAAATTAATTTCATGCTTATAACAAAATATTACAAGTGCATATGAAACCATATTTGGTTCCGCAGTAATACGCTTAGTTTAGGTTAGAATGCATGCGAAACTATATATGATTTCACGCAAAAGCCACCAAATATAATAGAAATAAGAAAAAACGTATCAAACAAATAAAACATACTTATAATATGAGAATAATAACATTATATTTTAACTTTTTAACCAACGAATCTTGCCTTTTTATGTAGAAAAACGTTTTATAAATACGAATTTACAGCCACTGTGTCGAACTTCACACCCGCGCTTAGAAAAATGAAGTTTTGACTAAATCAGTGCCAGTCTAAATGTCTTATCTATGGACTAAATTAACGTATTGACAATAGCCAACAAAAAATGTTTTCGTATTGCCAACATATTAAATACAATGTAAACAATGCGATTAGTTATTGTTTACATAATTATATGGGTCGCTATGCGGTAAAGTGTTAATTTATACAAAGCATGTATACGTCAATCCACAAGCTACACACCCTCGCCTCGTATACCTGGCCACTTCTCGCTCAAGTTGTTTTAGTTGTTCAGCTACGTCTTCCATAAAAGCTGTAAAATCCGCCCAGTCAAAAACAAATTACACTTACTTATAAGAAAAGAAAGTTATGAAAGAATTTAAAAATTTAAAGAATTATCTTTAAGAATGCGCAAAAAAGTATTTTAAGATATTTAGAATTCAATGAAAAAAAAAGATACATCTGATGATTAATGCATCTCGTGATTGTAGCAGCTACCATCAGAATACGTTTAATTGTACCCAAAGAGTACATATATAAACCTGCTGAGAATGTACCTTAATTTGCTGTTACGGGTACATACCTATAGTACAGAGATGTCCAAAGAGTACTTTTATATATCTGCAAATGTCATTATCATTGTCAATGTCATTTTTAAACGAACAAGAATTGATTTGAAACGAATTTGCTAAATCCAATTACTGTAACTAGTTTTTCTAAACGTAGTGATTACATTCTTTTTGGTTTTTCTCGCTACACAGTGGTCGTTATTTGCAAATTTTAGATAGTTTTTTAGAGGAATAATGGAAGAATCTGTATTATTTCCATCTCCTAATTGGTTTCAAGCTTCTGGGTTGTCTGTTAGCAGTGATGGCTGGATGATATATGGCGGTCCTAGCAAAAGCCTTTGCGTTTTAGAACCTTTACCTTTGAATTCAACCGGCGTAATTCATGGAGACCGCTATCGTGCTCATGTTCTTCATAGAGCTCATGCCGAAAAGTAACTATAGAGTACACCTTTGAAAATAATGCCTTGTATACCTTCCTACTTTACATTTTTATATTTTGTTTGCAGAATTGTTAGTGTAGACATTAACCCTGAATGGCCCAAAAAAAAAGTGGTACTGACTGGTAGTGCAGATGGTTCAGTAAAACAATGGGGTTTGGAGTTAATAAATAACAAATACAAATTTAAATCTACCCACAGCCATGATGTTCATCATAATGAAAAAGAGGTAAGAAAAATTTAACTATAACAAATAAATAATTATACTAATGCAGTCTGGAACATATTTGAAAAAAAGATCGAGTTGACTCACTTTTTAACCTTAAAACAATAAAATGATTACTTTTAGTAAAAAATAAGATAGGTGTGCTGTAACTAATTAATTTCTTAATATAAAGAAAAAATTAAAGATGATGATGTTTTTTAAGGAAGTTGCAGGTTTGGGGTACTCCAGTGATATATATGCAGTAACTGTTGGCTGTTTTGGTAACATAGTGAAATGGGATCTCAACTCTAATGTAGTGAAATCATATAATCAATTCCTTAAGAATTTCAAACCAACATGTGTGTCATGTTCTCAACACATGTTATTGACATTAGCAGTGGGAACAAAACAAGGTGTTATATTTGTTTTAGATTTAAATGGTGAGTGTATACTTAAAATACCTAACATATTAAAAAATAATTTAAATTGAATTTTTATAATGTATAAAAATTCAATTTAAATGTCTATAAAGGTTAGTTTTACCGCAATGTAATAATTTGTTGTTTATTTGGTTGGGTGTTTTTCGACCTAACAAATGTTTTTATTCCGTAGAGAAAAATCACTAATGAAATAACAAGCAGGATTCTTTGGTCGCTTATAGTTTACAAAAAAATTATTTAAAACATGCTATTTTCACAAAGAAAATTTCCGTCGCCGTTTCACTAATTGGACTTCAAAAACTGAATACACAGTAATGCCAACACGATAAATATAAGAAGTGGGTGATGTCATACTCAAATTGACTTGTAAAACAATCCATTAATTTTTTTTTTAATTTGACGAGTCACAAATAGATAGGTTAGGGTAGAAGGTTATTTTTTACAACCACTCAGAATGTCAGTGTAACAGTAATAGATTAAAGAAAAAATTAATATTTTAGGGTCAGGAAAACCACTTTATAAAGTTCGAGGTCAGGATGATGAAATTGTTAATGTAAGTTGGTGCCCTCAATATGAAGTTGTTATTAAGAAGTACCTCAAAGATTCTGATAAGAGGGTAAGCGCTAATGAGAGATTGGCTAAAATAAGACAAGAGGCTGGTGATCCAGCACAGAATCTTAATCAATCAGCTGTTACTAAAGATCTTCCAGAGGATAGTTTTGATGAATCTATAGTTGTCGAAGATGACATGTTCGATATATATAAAGATCACGAAATGGATGCATTTGGCCCTAAAAAGTATCAGCCAGAAGAAATTCTGGTCAAAGTAAAAGAGGAAGTAAAACCAGAGGACAACTATTTAGCTGAATGTATGAAATTAAAGGAAGCAATTATAAAGAAGAAAAACGAGCCTGAGCCTAGTATGGCCAGTTTAGTTGAAGCCTTGGAGAAAACACATGTTGAGAATGAATATAAGCATGCAGATGATCACTCTCAAGGTAGTACTGAGGGAAAGGATAGTATTGAAGAAGAATGTAGCAGTGTCAACGGAAAGAAAGGTGAAGCAAGTATCCATATGCACAAGCATCTTTTAGCCACAATAGGTAAACAGGGGTAAGCTTTATTTACTTTATAATTTTTAAATATCTACTTAGAACTTCCACATTCCAACATTATAAAAGATGAACTGTAAATAAATGTAAATACAGAAAAGAATTTAGCTATTTTTATCTTTTTTAGATATATTGTAATATTGTAATTGTAATAATAAGTTACAATTTTATTATTTTAAATTATGAAATTTGACAAGCACAGGCAGGATAGACCTAACACATTTTTACATATCATTTTTTATTTATTTTTAGTTTAGATAAACTATTTATAATTTCTCTCTTTTTGTAATTTTTAACTTTCTAAGTCACAGTTTTCACATTTTTTCAGAGGTGTCAGAATATGGTCTAAAAGTGGAAAACTAGTGGGCAGTTGCGCAGTCACTAGCTCTAGTAACAAGAACCAGTGGACAAAGC